AGTACATCTGTGCCAGTTAAAAGCAAGAGCTACTTTACAGGGCTACATTACTCATTACTTTTCTCATGTCCAGAAATGTTTCCTCTGAACTAGTCTAGATTTTTACTCTCTATCATTCCTCCCCCATCCTTCCCGTTTGCAGCAGTTCAAGATAATTCTTCCTCTACCCTACCCTCCAGTTGTCCTGCCAGGCTTAACATGTTCTAGTTGTAATCTTCACTGTAAATCTCTCTCCAGCCACTGCCCGATGGTGTGCTTTCCCTGAAATACATGACTCCTGAGTCCTGAACGCAGCATGAGGAAACTTGATACCCACCACCTCCTGGGGCTCTCTTCTCAATCTCTGTGCTTCCAATGCTCGTGCCCTGGATCCCTTGCAAAACTGCCTTAATAGCAATGTATGCAAAAAAATATTTTTTTCCAGGCATGGGTGTGTTGTCTAGGCTTCAAATTTAGGACCTGGAAGTCAAATTTTAATTGGCTAACACCACCATGCCCAACGGTTTAAGAACAACATTTCCTTAGGACTTTCCCTTTCTTGCCAAGGTAAGTGTTTGAAAGATGAAAATGATTCTCTCTCTTCTCTCAGGATTGCAGTACAAGTACCTACTGGCATTGCCTCCTTCCCTAATGAAGTCATGCACACACCCCAGGCTTGGGCCCAGAAGAAATACACCAACATAGTTTCCTTCCATTTCATGCCTCGAGGTGGCCACTTTGCAGCTTTGGAGGAACCTGAACTTCTTGCTGAAGATATTCTGCAATTTGTTGGAAAAGTAGAGAAAGAGCAACTTTGGAGAAAGAAAGGAGAATAACTCCCCTAACAAACAGCAGGGTAATTGCTTATAGCTTAGCATGTGTACAGGCCTTACTAAGTCTACTGTAATCCATGTAATTAGATATTATTCTTGACCAGGTATGAGAGAGGACAGCGAGAAAAATGCAGTATATTTCACTGAGATACGCTGCTGTGGGGAACCTACTGATTTTGGGTTGGGTTTTTTTGTTCAGCTAGGCTAAGGAAGTAGCATGAAGATTATTTGGTTATCTTGTCCCCCAAGCACTGACTTCTGAGATCTGTTCTGTAGTGTTCCTGACTCTTGCTTTGAAATTGAAAAACAGACCTTACAACTAATAACATAACTAATAACAGTTTAATTGTTATGAAAGGCTTTTTTTCACAGCAGCAGTAAAACATGAGTGGGTGTAGGTGTGAGGTTCCTTACATAAAGAATGGGGAATAGGGACTAGCAAGACCTAACTTGCATGAGTGCATCAGTTAATCAGCATTGATGATCTACAGTACCTTTACACTAGCCAGCTGGCTACTGCTGGCTGCCTTTCTCTTCCAGCCTGGGCTGGCAAGCAGCTTCCTGGCTGTGAGGAAGCTCAGCTCCCCTGCGCCAGGCTCTGGGGACAGCAACCTGTGAGGAGCAGCTGAAACACAAGGCGCCTGTAGCTCAGACCAGAAGGAGCTGTAATTATAGCCCAAGCCACCTCTGCACTGAATTTGTACTCTTAACTAAAGTCATAGCCATGGATAGGCTCAAGCCACTGTGGCTTTGCACTGCTTCTGCAGGGTACTGTAAATACCTCTTATTAAAGAATAAAACTTTGATTAATTCAAAATTAAAAGAAACTTGCATTCATATTTTTAATAACACTTGTCTTTTTCTTTTAATTTTTTTTAATAACTGAGATTTTACTTGGTGACAGCAAAGAAAAGCGTGAGTTCAGAACCTATTGATTCTGTACTGCAGCTGCTACAGAGGTCAGATTGAAGGCAAACTGCTCAAAGAAAATTGAATTTGAAGGGCTGTATGTCTTTGCCAGCAACAGTCCCTAGTGTGTGCAGTTGAGCTTCAAACACTTAAACTGTATCCAGATGACCGACTTTGGTATGGTTTTGTTCTCCAGTCACTTCTGATATATTTCCCTACCCCTGCAAGCACAGGGAAATATAATCCACTAATAACACTTAGCAGGGATTAGTATTATTTCACAATATTAATTGAAACAGAAGCTGTTAAATAACAGTCACTCCCACAGGGCTTTAGACTCAAGAATACCAACTAGTTTGTTTCACAGGAGGCAATTCAACACTCCTGGCTGGGCACATGTGAATCTCAGTGCTCAAAGCCACCTGATATGCCATGACCGAGAATCATTAGGGCAGACTGGTTGTGGACCAGCTTGGATCAGTTTTCTGAGCAGAGACAAGACCTCTCACTACCTTTCCTCTGCCTTCTGTGCTCCTGCACCTGGGTGCCAGTAGGGGAAGGCACAGTAGCTCTCGGGTCTCCCTCCAGGACTCAACTGCAGCACTGCCTTAGACTTCAAGCTGTACCTGAATTCTTTTAATACAGCTGACTGCTTCCAGATTAGTAGTGAGCACTAATTCTACCTTTACTTGTAAATGCTTTCATTAGTAAAAAACTGTGTTCTCATTTGCAAAATATTGTGTGGTTCAGGCCCAGTCTGTTTTGAGTAGACAGGAAGAAAATACAGAATCATTCACTTTGTCTAAAATAGACTCTTCTCACAAAAGACCATCCCCAAACTTGTTTCAGGTGCAGTATATTAAAAAGAGGTTGCTTATTCAGGAGGAACCAGCTCACCTCTTCAATGACAGCTGTTTACAGGCACCACTGTGCTTCCTCTTGCACAAATCTTGATCCCTGGCCATTTGTTTTTGCCTTACTTCTGTCCCCTGTGTGGCCTTGTATTTCAGAGCTGGAGATCATCCTCTCTCATCACTAACGCACATGCAGACATCTGCTGTGGTGCTAGGGAGCACTGCCATGTACCCATAGAACTGAATACTTCCCCAGGGACTGCTCAGTCACAACGCAGATAAAGTAAGTGGGAAGGAAGTTTGCTATGTGATACCTGCCAAACCGATTTTCACATGTGAGTAGAAGGCTCGAAGCATTTTCTGTCTCCCTTCTGGAGCAGATCTGCTTGAAGGGGCCCAGCCTCGATGACAGGAGGCGCATCAGAACTCTGTGTTGTGATCTTGTATTACTGCAGCTCATCCAGGCTCAGTCACCAGTGAGCTGGACAAAAAACAACCACCTGTAGAACCTTTCTATTTTTAAATACGCCTCACAGCACTCAGCAGTCTGAGCCAGTGATAATGAACAGAGGCAGTAACCAAGCACACCAGGTAAGTGCACTTCAGCCTACTGCATACATGAGCTGTCCACGCTGGCGGTTTTACTGAGCACAGAAGATAGACACTAAATCTAGCACAAAAATGGGTTTGATTAGCTACTCTCTGAAAGAGAAAAATATCTGGACATAAAAGGTACAGACTGTAAAAGCTTAAAAATTATAAGTAAGCACTTGCTATATAGCAAAGGTTGTTCTGAATTCTGATGTCACGTGTCTCAAACCTTAAGCCCACAGCTATCAGCAACAGTTGTTCATCACCTACTGATCTACACTTAGATACAAAGATTCAGTGAACTAGTATGACCATGTGAAAGACTATAAAATTGATCTCTGTGCCAGCTGTAGAGCCTGCCACCAATCCCCTTCCCCTTTTTCAAAATAATCATCTGTTTTAAGCAAAGCACAGCCCATCCCACTGCCTGTAGTGCAAGGCTTAATACTAATGAAGTGTTTGTGGGCTAATGATAGCATCTGCATCTCTCCCTGCAGGGAGCAACTCTCCCAGGAGCCTGAGATTTGGATTTGATAACCACCTTGAGTGAACCCAGACTCCCTTCTGATACACTCTGGTATTGACTAATGGGCAGTTATTTGGTACAGTACTACAGTGAGCAGTACAAAAGTCAGATAATCAGAAATAGTTTTAACATTTCAGTTAGCAAGTAACTGCATACCAGATTATTGCAACAGTAAGAAGCAGTGAGGAAGGACTCCCTGCTCTGTTATGCTTGTTTGCATTCAAGTGAGCCATTCAGACTGTTTCCTCTCACGAGGCCAAATGCGCTGCTGTAGGGCAGGCTAGGCTGTTTTGTGGGATTAAGGCTCTTGGTAATAGTAGCTAATGGCCTTCAGGAGAACCCAGAATCCAGTGACACTTTGATGCTCAAAGGATTTTATTTTGCTCCAGAGCCATTTTGTGGTGAAGCTTCCATTTCTGGACCAAAGTTGCCCCAGAGTCTCTGCTCAAAGAAACCGCTGTCCTAAAAGCCATTCCTCAAGTTGCTCCAAAACATGCATTTATCCCACAGTGACACCAGAAGCAGCTGACCCAAACTCTGCTTTTTAATTAGCCAGTTACAGCCCATGAAGAGTCTGGATAAAAGGTTCAGAGCCATGGAGATGCCACTGAAAATAAACAGAACTTACACTCTGGCCGCCCCAACTAAAGTGCTTTGGAAAGCATCTGCTCCTGCTATGGCAAAACACTAGCAAGGTCATCATCTTCTCATACAGCTCTGGCTAAACTAACTCCCACTACAACTAAATTTGACTTCTGATTTTTAAACTGCAAACCATAAAGTCTTGAACAATCCAAGCCACTATATGCAGCCTTTGGATATCTTATACAACTAAACAAGACAAGACTTCGTGCACATTAAACAAAAAAGTCAGGCATTACTCAGATTATGAATGAAAAAAATATGAATAGAAATCACACTTTCATACAAAAAAAGAAGTCAAACCATCATTTAGTGAAAAAAAGAATCTGTTAAGTCTAGCATCAGAGTTAGATCTAGATCCATAAGGGGCACTATGCATCACCACTGAGTCAGCCAGAATTGCTTGGGGGCAGGGACTGATTGGCTCAAGACAGTCAATCAAATGTACAGTCTGTTTTACAGCATGTGCAATACATAATTGCATTAAATGAAGATACATTTTTGTCTGAAAGAGGAATGAAAAGATCCTTCTGGATGCTGTGGGAAGAGACAAGGAATAAATCCATATTGATTTCAGGGTAGCTTATTTTAAAACACTGAGAAATGATGGCACTTGTTTTACTTGCTGTAATAGCACTTTAAGGAACATAACTCACGCTAAAACCGCCTTGCTTAGGATTAGTTTTCTTTCACGGAAGAAATATCTTGTGCAGTGCCAGACAGCCCGGATGGTGTTATGCCAATGCTGCTAGAAGAATTAGCTCCATTACAATTGTCAGTTGTCTTCTGGAGAGCAGTATTTATAAACAGATCTGTGCTGAGTGACAGCTCTTCCCCCTTGGCATCCAAACGTCAGTCTTCAAAATACCTTCCTGACTGGATTTTAAGATGTTGAGAAGGTTGCTCATGCTCTCCCTGTGTTTAATAACTGAATGTCTGCAGTTTTGAGGATAGGAAAAACAATAAATGAGATTTAAGTGATGAGTTTCCATCTTCTTCAATGAAAGAATCCCCCTTTGCAGCAATGGTTCAAACCACTGCTGATGATCATTGCAGAGAAAAGGTGAACAGAAACAGGAGAAGACAAAACTGCACGCAACCACCCGGCTGCTGCCTCAAAGGTACCCACATGACAAACTCAACTGTACATGAAGACTGACTCATGACTGTTTCAACAGCACAAGAGAGGTGCAAGGAGGGACACCAGCTGCTTCACCTTGCCTGTGCTGCCTGGCCCAGCAGCTGCGAGGGATGCGGCCGGCATCCCGCTTGCAAAGTCCCCCGTCCCCAGGGCCGAGCAAGGGGCTCTGGCTGTGCCTGCAGCCCAGCACCCTGCCCCAGTTCACAGAAGCAGCAGCTGCCGCCTGCTTTGGGCTCTGGAGGCAAGTGAGAAAAGAAACTGCACACCCAGCTCTGAAATTCCTCCCAGTCCCTGGCCTGGGGACCAGCTTTTGCCTGTCCTGCTGATACTGGCTTCCTGGTAAATACTCCATCCTTCCTTCCTCACACCATCCCCCTACTGCTGGTCCATTCCTAGCTGTCCATGCACAAGAGCATGTGGATGTGTCCCACTCTGAGGTGTTCAGATAAGCGACGTCAACGACT